GTGGTTTGAGCAGACATGCTGAAAACAGAAGCTCATCATATGAAAAACTTCCCAATCATATGCAGTTTTATTAAATATTATTCTGCATATCTCTCTCCCTTTTAGTAATAAACTAAAAGGACAAAATCTTGTAAAAATTAGTTTAAATGTTGTTCTGATAGAATAGCTTTTTTATAAAAAGCTGCATGAACAGTCATTAACACAGTCTTTAGTTTTCTGTTTTCAGCATAACCAGAATAAAAGGACTTGCTGTGCAGTGAGTTAGCATTGATTTTTTTTCTGTATCCACTTAGCTTTCTTACTGGATTATTTTTTATTTTATTATGAAATATATATCCTTTCTACTGAAATCTGACAAACAACATATATATGGAAGTCATTTTATCTACTGATAATGTGCTTGTCAAAAATATCATACGCTAATGGGTTATAGTTTCCTCTGGTCTATTTTCTGCAAGTTAATGTCACGGATGATATTCCAGAAACATTCAGTGATTTTATTTCTCTTAGTAACTTGTCATTATTATAGATTTGTATCTGATTCATGTAAAATAGTAGAAAAGGCTAGCTAGTAGTGGTGGATTTTGTGTATTAAAAAAAATGAGCAATTGAACCTTAAAAATGTATGTCTTTCTTCCTTCCACCTGACATGTATCTAATCTGTTTTTCTAGGTTTTGATACTATGTCCATCACTATGATATCTGAGCTTATGTAGCCCAGCAGGATCAACTGTACCCAAAGGAGAATGATTTGTTATATCAAGGGGGCCATTAGTATGTGCTTGTTAATTCTCTCATACTGGTTCTCTTCCTGGGGAATTCAGTTTTAGCGGTAGTTGTTGCACGGTGTTGGGCTCTGTGGTGTTAATCCAACAGCCTTTAAGCATCTGCTTAATTTTAAGCAGGTGATTTGTCCCATTAAAGTCAGTAGGACTAATCTCCTGCTTAACCATTAATATGTACTTTGCTTAAGTGCTTTGCTAGATTAGAGGGCTTTGCAGAACTGAGACGTTTATGAATGATCACGACCACTTCAAAGTCCTTCTTGGGGCTTTTGTAGATGGACTATATCAGTGCATCTCTCAGATGTTCTGGTCAAGCCAACCACCATTTGTAGACTTATACTGAAAAGTAGCATGCTTCCTTGTAGAAATAGTGGTTATAGGTATTTTGCATTACTGTGATCTATCTCTGGGCAGACTTTCTTCTACTAAAAGCTTTCATCCTGGTTCTGCCAGCAGTGAATCAAGCCCTTTCAATTGATTTTGACTTTGTGTTTGTCACCAGTGATATGGCGTCTATTAATTATTCCCAGTGTTCATTTCAGTTGAGCTCCAAACTAAAGTGAAAATACAGCATTCACATTCATTAAAATTAAAATGGAAGATGGTGATTCTCAACCAGGAGTCAAGCTGCAAGCAGGTTTTAAGGGGTCCACAAACTGGACCAGCATTAGACTCACTGAGACTCAGGGCTGAAAGCCAAAGCCTAACTTCATGGTGCTGATGCTTGGGGCACCAAGTTTTTATGGCATTTTGGGGAGGGACTCAGGAAAAGAAAGGTTGAGAACCCCTGATATAACTTTCTAAGATGATAGTGCCTTATTCTATATTTTTCAATTATAAAAAAAACCATAAAAATCTTGTACATATGTTCAATCAGATTATTAAAAAGGGCAGATAGGAGAGCAATACTTGAGACATTTACAGAATTGCTTTTTGAATACAGTGTTTTATGCACTGATTTCAACAATCAATGTATGGCTTTATGAATATTTGGCATGAGCAAATATATTGTTCACCTCTCCCTTCCCTTGTCTTTTCATTCATCTTATCCATTCCTAAATAAAATCTACTAAAAAAAAAAAGCTTTGAAAAGAAAATCCATAGAACTAATACAACATTTTCAAGCATCTAATTTTTCACTCTGTACATTACATCCCCTTTTTCTGTACCTTTTGCTGTCTTGTCATTTTCTTGAAAGTTTTTATCAGAGGAGCTGTCTCCTGCTGTGTGTTTGTAGAGTTCCTAGCACAATGTGGCCCCATCCTTGGCTGGTCCCTTAGCACGACTATAATAATAATAATCAGAACTATATGAGATGGGAGAAGATCAGTTACAGTATTAACAGAAAATACAGATAATCACGTGGTTGGGGCAAAATTGTACTATCACTGCAGTTGCACATGGACTCCGCAGGGGAAAATTAAGTAATATGTGAGATTAACTCTGAGTGTAGCAGAAGCAGAAAATGCTATTTTCAGACGTTAATTTAACTGAAAAGCCCAAGCTACCCATTATTTTAGACAGGACATTTTTGTTGCACAAGCTGTCAAAGAAAAGAACTTACCTGTAACTGTTGTTCTTCGAGATGTGTTGCTCATGTCCATTCAAATAAGGTGTGTGCACCGCGTGCACCACGTCTCCGGAGCATTTTTCCCTAGCAGTACCCATAGTGCCGGCAGGGCACCCCCTTGAGTGGCACTGCTATGGCGGAGCATAAGTACCCCTGCCGGCGCTCCCCCACCTCAGTTCCTTCTTGCCGGACACTCCGACGAAGGGGAGGTAGGGGGGCAATCGAATGGACATGAGCAACACATCTCTAAGAACAACAGTTACAGGTAAGTAACCATTCTTTTCTTCTTCAAGTGGTTGCTCATGTCCATTCAAATCAGGTGACTTCCAAGCTAACCCTACTTCATGGAGGACGGGGTCGGAGCACCCAGAAAGAGAAGTCCACGAAAGTTGAACAACCCAAACATATTTATTCAAGTAACAGAACACAGAGAACTGTTAAAAAAAAAAAAAGTGCAATGTGGTATAGAGAAAAAAACAAACATATTTATGACACGGAGCTGAGGACCACAGAGCCCAACCCTGCGTCCTCCCTGGCCTGCTGTGTCAGCGCATAGTGCGCCGTAAAGGTATGCACTGACGACCACATGGCCGCCCTGCAGATTTCAGTAACTGGAACCTGTGCCCCAAAAGCTACAGAGGAGCCTGTGCTCTGGTGGAATGTGCTGTAACCCGGGGGGACCTTCCCGGCCAGGACGTAACACTTCCTGATACACCCCGCGACCCAATTGGACAACCTCTGGGTTGAGATAGGGAGCCCTTTCATTCTGTCCGTGAAAGCAACAAACAGTTGTGTGGACTTACGAAAGGGTTTCGTTCTATCAACATAGAAGGCTAACGCCCACCTAGCATCTAGGGAGTGTAGCACTTGCTCCCTAGAAGAGGCATGGGGCTTTGGAAAGAAAACCGGGAGGTAAATTTCTTGTGACAGATGGAACGGTGACACCACCTTGGGGAGAAAAGCCGGGTGAGGACAGAGCCTTGCATTATTCTCCGAGAACAGTAGGTAGGGCAGGTTTACAGTTAGCGCCCTCAGCTCAGAGACCTTGCGAGCCAACGTAATGGCAACAATGAATGCAACCTTCATAGAGAGGTGCTTCAAAGAGCATATGGCCAGCAGCTCAAAGGGGGGTGACACGAGTCTAGACAACACAAGGTTAAGGTCCCAAGTGGGGAGAGGGGGCCTAACTGAGGGGTACAACTTGTGCAAACCCTTAAGGAACCTTTTGACCACAGGGTCAGAAAACAGGGAGACTCCTGCTGATCCAACATGGAAGGCGGAGAGAGATGTCACATGGACTTTGATAGAAGAGGTAGAGAGCCCACCAGACCGGAGTTCGAAAAGGTAGTCCAGAATGCACAGGATGAGTGCACCCCCTCTCTGGACGCCCAAGACGAGAACTGCCGCCACTTGGCTTCATAGGACCGCCTGGTGGATGGCTTCCTGCTACCTAGGAGCACCATCTGCCCCTCCTGGGAACATTCCCTTTCTGGTTGCGTCAGCCAAGGATAAACCAGGCCATCAGGTGGAGAGAGCTGAGATTCGGGTGAACCACGAGCCCCCCATCCCAAGGCTGGGTCAGGAGATCCCAAACCAGCAGGAGCGTTATAGGCTCCTCGCTGAACATATCCACCAGGATAGGGAACCAGAACTACCTGGGCCACCGAGGGGCTATCAGGATGACTGTGGACCTGAAGGTCTTGACTCTGGTCAGAACCCTGGGAATTAGGGGAAACGGTGGGAATGCGTAGAGGGTTCCTGCCGGCCATGGCATGGTCATGGCATCTCCCCTGGAGTGGTCCCCCAGCCCCAACAGGGAGCAGTAACTCTGGCACTTGGTGTTGTGTGCCGAGGCAAACAGGTCTACTAGGGGACAACCCCACCTGTGGAAGACCTGATGAAGGGCCAAATCCTTGAGGGACCATTCATGGGCTCCGAAGGACCGGCTCAGAGCATCGGCCAGCAAGTTTGTGCACCCAGGCAGGTACTCTGCCTGCAAAAATATATCGTACGCTACGCACAGGTCCCACAGCCACAAAGCCTCGCAACAAAGGGGAGGCAACCAGGCTCCCCCCTGCCTGTTGATGTAGAACACAGCTGCCGTTTTGTCCAGGCGCACCAGGACGGAGCGGCGCGACAGCTTTGTCAGGAAGTCTGAGCTCCCAGACATTTATATGTAGGGCCTGCTCTGCAGGGGACCACAAGCTTTGGGTCCTGTGACGCCCCAGGTGCGCTCCCCAACCCAGATCCGAAGTGTCTGTAGTCAGTGTCACCAAGGGGGGGAAGTACGGTAAACAGAACCCCACGGCACACCACAGCCTCCTGAGTCCACTACTGTAAGGAGGCAATTACCACTGGAGGCACTGTCAGTACCATGTCCCAGAGACCCCTGGACTGGTTGAACGCCTTCGCTAACCAGGCCTGCAGCGATCTGAGCCTCATTCGAGCATGGCGTACCACATAAGTGCATGCCGCCATGTGTCCCAGCAGTCTCGAGCAGACTCGGACGGTCATAATGGGGAACCGGGTTAATTCGGAGACCAGCTCCACTATGGCCAGAAATCTGTTCCTGGGGAGGAATGCTCTCGCCACCCTGGCATCCAAGAGACCCCCCACGAATTCTAGGCGCTGAGAGGGAGTCAACGATGATTTTACCATTAACTACTCTAAGAGAGAGACATGCTCCAACAACCGTCACAAGCGGTAAGAAGGTATTTAGGTGGGGGAGCGCCAGTAGGGGTTATGCTCCATAATAGTGGCACCACTCCAGAGGGCATCCTGCCAGCGCTACAGGTACCACTAGGGAAAACACTCCGGAGACGGGATGCACGCGGTGTGCACAACTGATTCGAATGGACATGAGCAACCACTCGAAGAAGAAAATAAGATTGTTGTAAATTAAGTGTGGTACATCTCTACAAAGAATATATCAGGGTATTTGACAGCTACACAAATTTCTTTGCCCAATCATCTTTAAAATATTATTTGAAGTTAGTTTTCATCAAATGCTTGCACAGGTGGATGGGAGTTTATATTTTGTTTTCTCTATGCAAAATACAATGCAGTCTTATATAGCATAGGTGACTTATCTGGATTTTGATTTTTACGTGCGCAACAGGAAGTATTTGGCACATCATTGTCCATATTTTGTCATTTGTTTCAGTCCTGTTGCTCTCCTAAAATTTTTCAGATTTCAAACATATCTTCGGTTCTTATTTGAGTAATATCGTATGGGTGCTCCCCTGTTGATGTGCTGCTGATCATAGAACTTTGGTAGCAGTATCCATTAGGTCCACATGTGCCATATTTCCTCATGCGGCATCACAAGGCTAATCAGCGTGTACAGGGTAGCCATACTCCATTCCTTCTTACCTACCCAGACTAGAGACAATGCTCTTTGCCGTCCATTAGGACTGTTACTTTTCATTTGCGTTTCAATAGCTTATTAGCCTCCTAGTTTGTAATTGTAGTTCTAATTGTCATTTTTCTCTTATCTTATTCCCTCCCCTTTAAAAAAAAAGACTTTAGTTTCTTTCACACTTTTTTCCTCATAGGAGTATACCCAGCTCACCAGGCTTCAAGAAGTGCCTCTCTTGCAAAGAGGCAATCCTTGTTACAGATTAGCACCGCTAGTGCAATATCTACCTCACAAAAGGCCAGACCACACTTGTTGGTCATTTCTCAGAAATTCAGGACCTGGTCTCATAAAAATAGAGAGCTACGACAGAAGATTATCTTTTGGAGGCAGCTCTCCAATCCTTTTTGGACCCACACCACAAGTTACTGGGAGACTTGAGTCTTCCCCACAGCCCTCAACATCTAAAGGCTGTTAGATGTGAAACAAACTGCTGACCTCTCTCACAAATGATCAAAAACCAGTGTGTGCCAATGAGTGCCAGGATAGCTTCATATTCTCTCCAGGATGCTTGGTATCCTTAGTACTACTGGTACTGATACCTCAGTCACCACTCATTGCTCATAGACGTTCTCAGGGCAGTTAATATTGACAAGCCCACCAACCTGATAGGTACAGGCACTGAGGGACAAGGACAGACGTAAGCACTCCTCTAAGAAGGCATTACCAGTGCACAATACTACATCTGTACTGACACTAATACTTACTAACCAGCAGCAGTATCAAGTCAGTTGGCATTGCCAGAATGCTGAAACTCTAGGAATCTATGTGTATCAGACATACTGAAGTCTCCTCTTTCTGGTTCCAAGACCTTCACACCAAGTCTTCAGCCTGCATGGGTGTTTTCTCCCACTATTCTGTCATGCTCTCCTGCTCTCTTTTGAAGACTGAGAACATGGTATCATCATACTCCTCACAGGTGCCTTACAATGCCCAGTATCCAGGCCCCACCACCACCATCTTGGTATAGCCACCTTTAGGCATCACCCACAGCCTCTATGCCACCACCGTCCCTATGGCCATCATGGGACTCTTGGGCTACCTATCAACATCATGCCCTACCTAAGAACCCTCAAGGCAGAACCCTTTGACCACAGCTTCCAGAGCTTTGGAACCTCTTGAAGAAATTGTGGAGTAAAATTGGGCTGCAGTTGAGGAAGTGACCCCAAGAACCATATCCTCTTCCTCCCTGAATAAGCCTGTTGTGCCATCTCTGCCATTCCTGGCTGATGACTTTTGCTTTTTCCAGGACTTGGCAAAGAGAGTGGTGGACATGACATAAGTGGGACCAAGACCCACTAGTAAGTACATCACAGTCTATTCAGGGGATAGGAGATGCCAGTTACAGACTTGTTTGCCACTTACCTGATCAAGAAATGTGTGTGCTACTGCTCCAGAGTGGGAATAGGACAACACTCCCTGGAAGTGCACTACTCCTCTGAGACAGGGACTTTTTTTTTATACTTTTCCTCCTTTTCCACTGCTGTTGAATGTCTCCTTGCCTCTGCTCAGCCATGACAGACCTTATACCCTTATCTGTCACATTTTCTGCAGCCAGGTTCCTCATTCCAATCTGAGCCCTTGGCTAAATATTTTTAACCTGAGCTTATTTCTCCAGAAGCCACTGTTATTGCTTTCATTCTAGACTGTATTCATTCCTTGAAAACAGCAGGTTTGTCTGTCAGTTCCTTTTGGGTCATCTTGGCAGCAATCAGTGCATTCCATCTGCCTTCACAGGACTACTTAATCTTAGCAAGTCCTCTGATGGGAAAATTCTGTAAATCCCTAATAAGAACTTTTCCGCCTAAAATGAAAGCCTACTCCTCCTTGACAATTGAACTTTGTTCTACCAGTACTCACTAAGCCTCCCTTGGAAACATTAGCTTCTTGTTCCACGGCGTTCCCAATCAATGAAGGTCACATTCCTGGTAGTTATCACCTCAGTCCGGAGTAATAATGAGCCTGGGGCATTGATGGTGGATCCTCCTTAGATTATTCATAAAGACTAGGTTTAATTACATTTATATCCTAAACTAACCCCCAAAATAGTCCGAATTTCACCTGAACCAATCTATCTACTTATGTGTATTCCTCACAAAACCTTATGCATCTTCAGAAAAAAGGAGACTCCATTTCCTAGACATTTAGCAAGACTTAGCCTTTTACCTGCAGAGAACAAACACAATAAGGAAATCCCTTAGACTATTTGTCACTGTAGTGGAAAGGATCAGGAGTCAAGCTTGTCCTCTCAAAGAATCTCATAATGGATCTCGGCTTTATTTCACTCTGCTATAGCTATCTAATCTTCCACCTCATCTTTTGGTAAGAGTTCATTCCTCAAGAGCACAAGCAACATCTGTAGCATCATTTCAAGAAGTTCCTCTTGACATCTGCAAGGCAGCTTTGTAGAGCTCAGTCCGTAAGTTTGGTAGGCACTGATGCCTTGGTACATGACTCTTCTGCTGATGAATCTTTTGGAACAATAGTGCTTTCGTTTGGCTCTGCCATTTATGACTTCACTGCCTCCCCTTATTTGAGTACTCCATGTCAGTCACCAACAGGGGACTTACATATATGAACAGTGCTTGAAGGAGAGAGAAAATTATTTACCTTATTGTAACTGGAGGTCTGTTGTCTTCTTTATATTCTACTATTTATCCTCCGTCACACATGCTTTAGATCCTCTCTGATTTGCAGTGGAGAAGGAACTGTAGAGGAGGTTTGTCTGTTCACCTCCTCGCCTTAATCTCCTCAGACAAAGACATGAGGTGAACAAAAGGGGCATCTGCAGAATAAGGGATACAGCTTTCATAATTCTTCAGCTCTAGGTGCATGAAATAGATGTGTATCCATAGTGGGATACAGATAGAGACCACTCATGTCAAAGAAGGTTCAGCTACTATAAGGTAAATAACTTTCTCAACTGACATTTGTAACAAATCTATGCTATTCCAGAATCCCTGGCTTTTCCAATACATCCACTCACTGCAATTCTGGCACTATAAACATGTAAGGAGCAAATTTTTATGTCAGCATTGTGAATGACATCACAAAGTGAACAAGTACAGCTTAATCACTCTTCTTGTTCTTAATAAAGCAGAAATGTTTCTTTATGATAGAGTATTTTAGCTTTCATTGAAAGTTTTTTTTCCTAGTACATATTTCATAAACAGTAAAATATCTTGAGGGAATACTGCACTGATCATAAGCTTACACTGAAATATGCTGACTTTCTACCCCTTTTGTAGACCAAGCCACCCTGGTAGAACAAGTGAAACGAGTAAAAGAAATTGAAGCTATTGAAAGTGACTCTTTTGTTCCACAGACATTCAGATCAAGTAAAGAAGTCAAAAAGGTAAGTTGTCAATAGCCTATCTTTATGTATAACCCCTAGCCTGCCAGCATTAATGCAACTTCCCTTGACACATCACATTGATACTGGAAGTTAGGATTGCCAGAGTTCAAACATGTACATAGATATTTGAATTGGTACTGAAGTAGGGATGAGTGACAGGACTGGAAGTGCCTGAGAGTTTAGGATGAGGTGAAATATATTGTTAAAATAGCAAGATAGTCAAAGCCCCGCTTAGAAGTTTGGTGGTTTTTTTGGAACATTTTTTTAAATCATTGTCAGAGCACAAAGGTTTTTAAAAGGGGGGAGAGGAAGGAAATAGCCAAATCATCATACAAAGGCAATAAGGTAGTTTATGTTCATCCTAATATCAAATGGGTAAATGATTTTAAAGCCAGATTCCTGAAAATATATTTATGTACCAGAATAACAATGGTCTGGATTTTCAGAGGGCTCTGCAATACTGAATGGCCATTTTTATTTCAGTGCCTAAATATGACTCAGCACATCCAAGTTTGAAAGTTGGGACCTAATTCTTGCAATTGCCTTTATAGAATTATAGTGTAGGTGCTTTTTATGTCAAGGGAAAAACCATGTCCGTAGTTAATCCACCTCTCTGAGAGGCAGTAGCTAAACTGATAGAAGAATTTTTCAGTCAATATTACTGTGTTTACATTAGAGTTTATTTTGATCAAACTGTAGAGCTCAGGGTGCAGAATTTTCTACAGCCCTAAGCAGCATAAGTCAATCTAATTTTTAAGTGTGAGCCAGGGTTCTGTCTGTGTTCAGAAACCACACTCTCTCCATTTTGTAAGATAAATGCATATGCAAATGCGTGTTCTAGTGACAGTCAAATGTTTTAAATGGTCCATTGAAAAGAGTGCAATTACTGTCTTTTCAAATATGTATTTACTTTTAAAAGTTCTCAGTTTTTGAACAAATGTACTTTATGAGAGAAAAACTGAACCTCTGCTCTTTCACTTCCCTATTTGTCAGTAATTTTCTCTCTTCCTCTACCAGCCTGACATGCCCAGGCAGTTCCTTTCATTTTTAAAAATATGAAGATGATTATTCTTTTGTGGATTAGTTAGTGGTTATAATCTGAGCATGTTAACAAGCTGAGTGCAAAATTGTTACTCTGTAATGCCTGGGAATTTTTCAGGAAATGTTCTTGCATCCAAATGTGTTTTTTTCCTTTTAGTCAACAGAACCTGGTGAACTGAAGTGTGAACCTGCAAGTGTAGGAGTTGAAACTGACAAGCTGTCTAATACTGAAAAAGAAATAGCACCTGGCAACATTCCTACTGCCATCAAGTACCAAGATGATAACTCTTTAGCGCATCCAAATGTAAGAGTGTTGATATTTATTGCACCCTTGAAATAATGTCTACTATGTGGAGTCACGGTCACATGACCCAATACTTTTGCAGTATCGCTTGTCAAAGGTTTTAGGATCCAAAGACTATTTACTGATGAACTCACTGTTGGCTGGTAAAGAATAACACAGCCCACATAATCAAACTAGAAAAGTGTTGGGAGATGGGCCCCACAAGGCTCTGAGTGAAAGTAAAACTATCAAGTGAATGAGTGACAGTCTGCCTTAAAAAATCAAATATAGTTTAACTTCCAGAAGTAACCACACTTTTGTGAGTCACAAGTAAGAATACCAAATTCAGCACAAATTTCTAAGTAGTGCAACCATGCCCCCAAACTGGAAGTTATTCTCCCATGAGATATACCAGACCATCAACAAAAGTAAACTTCTGTTCACCACACCGGGTAACAGAAAGTCAAAAAAGCAGGTTCCTTAGGCAGACCAGACCAGTTACCCCCAAAACACTGAATTTAAAGATGGAGTGGTTCTTTAAAACCAGTCTCATCAAACAAAAGGTTCTTCTGACCCCAAAGAACCAGACACACACCCAGGTCAATATACAACTCAAAACTTTTACCCAAAAATCACACTGTTGCCAATTCTTTAATATCTAAAATGTAAAGGTTTATAAAACAAAAGAAAGGTGAGATTTAAAATAGGTTAAAGTAGTCAAATACATACAATGAATGCAGAGTTCTTGGTTCAGGCTTGTAGCAGTGAAGGAATAAACTTCTAGTGCAGTGGTCCCCAACCTTTCATGGCTGCCAGGGGTGGGGCCACTCACGTGGCAGGTGTCTGGGGGCGAGGCCGCTCATGCGCCACGCTTCCAGGGTTGGGGCCATGCATGCGCCGCACACCCGGAGCTGGCAGCGTGCATCTTCTGCGCGCCCGGGGCGTGGCCTCAGGCTGCTCTGGAAGGGGCAAGCCGGGATACTTCCCTGCTTCCCCACCCACAGACCATGATTGGTCTGGGGGTGGGGAAGAGCATGAAGTCTTTTCCCTCCCATGCCCCCAGGCTCCCAATAGGTGCCCATGCCCCTGGCAGTGGGAGGAGACTTAGCACGCTCCCTCCACCCCAAGGCCAATCAAGACTTGGGGCGAGGGAGCTCGCAAAGTCTACTCCTGCACTGCCAGGAATGCGTGGCACTTCTAAGCACCACGCACTCCTAGCAGGGCGGAGGAAACTTTGCATGCTCTCCCTGCCCCCAGGCCAATTAGGGCTTGGGGGCAGGGGAGTACATAAAGTCTCCTCCTACCCTGCCAGGAGCACATGACCCTTCTAAGCACCGCACACTCTTGGCAGGACGGAAGAAACGTCATGTGATTCCCTCTGCCCCCAGATTCTAATTGGCCTGGGGGCAGGAGAGCAGCAGGGCCTCTGTGGACTAGATCATCCCGCTTGGTGGGCCGGATCTAGCCCACAAAGGCCCTTTTGTCCACCCCAATCTATATCATCTATTTTAATCAGATAATATCACACCAGGATGTATATATTACTAATGTGTTACCTATAATAGAGATGCCTCCACAGGGTATGGCAGAGCTGTAATAGCTTTAGAGTGAGAAACATACAAATTACATTATGTTCAACAAATACTGTCCTCCAAAAATTCCTATATTTTCAGAATTGTGTAGAGATTTACAAACACCATTAATGCAATGGAATGTAAATCCCTGTGCAAATCTATGAAAAGTCAATGGAAATTGTTTGCCAGTTTCTGTGCTTTGATAGTTGCTGAACCACTATTGCATTGTAATCCCAGCATAAGTGAGATTCAAGTCCACATACCTGGGTTTGTAAGCCCAAATCTTGAGCATGTACATTAACTGTGATGCTAGGTATATAATTTCTGAAACTGGGCTCTCAGTTCCATTCTGCAGTATACAGATCCAAGTCAAATTACCATATTCCAGGCTTCCTTGTACCCCGGCTCTGAGCTGTGGCTGCTCTAGTCCTTGATACATGGCGCAGTGTGGGAAAATTTGAGTGTCCACCCTGCATGTTCACAGAATAGACCACCAACATCCCTGCTGAGCCACATTTTGAGTCTGCATGCTTCAGCATCCAAAGCTAGCAACACGGAAGAATCTCAATTTGACAAGCTTCTCTTGCTTGGGCTTTCATTTCTGTTTTTGGGAAGCAGGAAGAGTATCCAGAAGATGCTAATTGATAATCTGTGGATGTTTTCTGTCTACTGAAAGCATCTGTTGGAAGAGGGGGACAATATAGACACAGAAGACTCAAACTGGCTGATATTGCTCAGGACTTTTGGTATAGCTGCTAGTTGCCCCTTGTGGAGCAGGGCCACAAGTGCATACTTCCACAGGATGACCATTAGTGGTTCCCAAACTTCCAACGGAAGAAAATTACATTTTTGGAGCTTTGTAAGTGGCTTTCCTTGTCCTCTAGCATCAGGGCACATGCATGAGGGTGGTAGCCATCCTAGTATAGAAGCAGGTTGCTATAACTGTGGAAAGTGGCTACTCCAGACTGCTAAAGATCCATTGCTAACTAGTATGATACTGGCAAGTGAACTACAGATGAAGTGATGGGGATTTCTGAGACAATCAGGCATGTAGTTTACACAAAAGTGGTGATTTAAAAAAAAAATAGTTGGTTTTGAAAGAACGGAGTTTTGAAGTTGTATCACAGCCATTGACCGGACTCATGTGTCCACAGTTTACTTTCCTCAAGAAGCACGACTGCTCAGTATACTCCATTGTTATGCAGGCCCTTGTGGACCTCTAAGGCTAATTTATGGGTTCCAATGTAGGCTGCACTGAAAAATTTCATGATGCCAGGGTTTTCTGCCTTTTTAGAGTCTACCTTCATGGACAGGTGGGGGCATGTGGCAAGATTTGTGGATTTACAGTATGGCTTGATGTAGATAACAGTTTTGAGATACTGTATTTGGATACAACTTCCCAGTTGTCCCTTACCACGCGTTTTTTGTTTGAAAAACACCTTACAGGATGTGATACAGTGATGATGATAAATGTTGTTAATATATTAAAACCCTTCATTAATGCAACTATAAAAAAAAAACCAAACAGTATTACACAATTGGCAGGCAGGCCAGCTACTATTAGCAAATCAAAAACGTAACAAACCAACCCCAACCCCATTAATAAAGCAAAGTGCATAAGCCATGGATTGTACAGTGAAAGCCCTGCTGACAAAAACATTCCCTAATGTTGCATGTCTCCAGCATCCCCATTCTTCTTCCTTGAACATTTAGCTTGCATTGGCACTGCTGCATGGGACAGGGGCCTGGATGGCCTAGATTTAGCCTTTCCAGCTGTTAAGTTTTGGTTCATGGGCCACCCAAACCTGGAATTGTCTAAAGCCTTCCTGCTCTGTGGCACATGATGCCATCATGCAGGCACAGCAGGAGCCTGTCCTCTTACAGCTATAAGCATGAGCAGTTTCTCAAACAGGTTTTTCTGTAGCATAGTATCTTCCTCCCACAGCTGATGTTCCTGTTCCAGAACTGAGCTTTGAACTACTTGTGTGCTTCAGTTCTGTCCTCTTGCTTTGAATCATGTCTGCACCTTCTCATTTGGCATGAGTCTTTCTCCCTTTCTCGTACAGTACCTTCTTGTTGACCCTGTCCAGAATGTCCACCATAAGCTCATCACTGAAAATATCACTGCTTGGACTGATTTGTCTTAAATCTGAATTCCAGCGACAAGCTGGTGAGTGTGTGTGGCTGGCAAGATGGAAAGACAAGCAAAAGTGAAAGGACCTAAAAATAAAAATCGAATAATGCTTTATTGTCTCAGTATTTCAAAACAAGTTCAATGCATCTGCAGACAACAATGCTTTGCATAATCTCAAAGCCTGAACTTGATAATTTGTAAAATGGAATTTTAATATAGTTGGAGAGGAATGCTTCATTACCCAAAAGCTCTTTGGACACAACTGAGTTAATCATAGTGAAAAGACTGCTCACACAAAGAATGAGAGGTTAAAATTCACAATTGCTTTTTTTATTTAAAAATTGTAGACCAGGTTGGCCTGACTTGAGAGGGGAGAGTGGTGTGCAGCTTACAACCTAAGCCTTTGCCGCCCTCTTGGGAATTCCACATCGTGGATGACATTCTAGATAATTCTACAGGTTCCACAATGGCAAAGGGACATTAGATTTCAAGCTGCCAGTGGTAAGCTAACTGTGTGCCACAGAGGTTTTCAGAGTTACGGTGCCTGAGCAGAATATGTGTAAGTGAAGTGAACTGGTGAGGTGATAGTGGAAAATACTCCTTTTTCTGAAACTTGACTACCTTTCTGGAGTTCCTACTACTGGAGAAGTTTACAGCTATCAGCACTGAATTAACATATTCATTGATTAATGCCTCCCTACGCTGCATGCGGCTTCTGAGGCAGGCTGCTCTGAGGGTATCTACCCAAGAACTGCATGCAAACATAAATGATAATATGAACAGTCAACAACACAGTCTTCACCCCTCCTGACCCACTTCTGGACTACATGCAAACAGCCTGCTATACTTCAAACATTGATTTTGTCACTTGGAGACTACTTTTAACCTACCCTTTCCTCCAAAAGTTTTCTATTTACAGGCAGCTCGTTACCCTGTGGTATGGATGATGTGTACTGTATAGCATACTAAAAGGGGAGGCAATATACAGTTCTTACTTAACACCCCAGGCACAACTCTGTAAGAATTTGTGAGCTTGTCTTGTAAATGCTTGTCTCACTGTTGCATGTGCTTCCTGGTCTTCATTTTGAATTCCATGCAGTGATATAGGCAGAGATGGTGGCATCAAGGCGGGTACACACTGCTGCGTGTGGCTTGTAATAAATTTTGCATTGGGCCATAAACCAGAAATCTCTCCCACCCCAATGTTAATAACAGCTGATATGGAGCCAGAAACTGTTTGTTGGATCCTCTCCAGTCTGATTCTGGATTGTGAGGTAAGAAGATTGCCATCCAGGCTGACTGGACTGTCATGAAGTGTTATTGGCTCAGGGCTGGTTGCAGTACTCAGCATCTAGGCAAACTCCTTCTAAAAGAGGCAGGATAATGGTAAATTCCCAAAGGTGTGGTTCTTATAGCTGTCTGCTCAGTAGTCATTCTTGAGTCATTAAATCTGATCCCTGCGCTAGTCACTTGTTCAGTGAATCCCCAGCACAGCCAGCCTCTTCACTATTCTCTGGTAGATGTAATAACAGTCAGCCTCTTCACTATTTTCTGGTAGATGTAATGTTCTTGGAATTCCTATCAAGTCCAGTATTTTGCTCAACTCACACTCTTGAGGTGATATAAAAATTGATTGTGCTCCCATGACCAGCTAGCAGTGAGCATGGCAAAAGACTTCTTCATGTCAGTGCAGGGGCAGGTTCACTCTGCTTGCAGCTCAGCAATAAAATGAGGCTTAAATGCAGAATGGCTGCACTTCGCTCAGAGGAGTTGCTTCCATTTTCTGGGAGTCAACTGGATAGTCTTGGGATAGGAAGAACAAAGGGCGCTTCCCATGGGATTGTGGAATAGCTTTGGCAGAGTGTCAACATGGAGTTTGGGAGGGCCCCAGACCCGAGCTGCATCCATGTTCCATGATGGAGAAACTTGGGCTTAAGTCCTGTGGGACTCAAGCTTGAACCCATCCACCTTGCAGGGTTCTGGGATATGGGCTAGAGAGCCTGCTGGCCTGAGTCAGACAGGGTTGGGGTTGGGCCTTGAGCTTGAGTCTGAGTCCAGGCTTACATTGCAATATGGACATATCCTCTGAATACCACACTCATCAAACTCTAGGGGTATATCTATATACGAGTGAGATGCATTTCCTGTAGTTTAAGGTGTAAATTTAAATCAATATAGCTAAACTGGTTCAAACTCCTGTATAGAAACGTGGAAATAAGAGTGTCCACACAGGAGTCTGAACCAATTTAATGAAATTAGCTTAAAATTAATTAAACCAATAGAACTTTCCTATGTCAACCAGGCCTGACTTTTGGCTATAAAAATTCCCTCTAATCTAATCCACATTATAAAAGACCACCTCAATTCAATATCAAAGTTGACTCTCACATTTTTAGGCATTCCTAATTAGTGTAATCTCAAGTTTTGTGATTTTTTTAGCTCTGCTAGTGGATTTTTCTAAGCTGTTGCATTTCAGCAAACAGCTGTGGTTTTCTACTTCCATCCATGCCACAGGTTGATTGTATTTAATTCAAAGAAAAGAAATTTACTCATCCTGTTTCGTCACGACTGTTCTTTGAGATGTGTGTTTCTGTAGGTGCTCCACTGTTGATGATGGGTCATCCCAGAGCCACAGATGGGAGTTTTTCCTAGCAGTTTTCAGATGGGCCTTGCATATGTGATAGGCAGTTCTTGGCATTTGTGCCTTAACTCCTTGCACACGCAGCCTGACCCTTCCTCAGTTGCTCAGCTATGCCCGAGTAACTAGGTACTCCGAAGTAGAGGGGAGAGCATGGGTCATGGAGCATCCATAGGGATACACATCTTGAAGAACATTCGTTACTGCATAGGATTAGTACTTTCTTTTTTTCTTTAAGCGATGTCCCCATGACTGTTCCACTGTTGGTGACTACAAAGCAGTGACCAATCTGGTCTTCAGAGTCACTGCTTGGTGGCAGAGGATTGGTCAGCTGTGGCCAGTGCGATATCAGACTGGGACTGAGGTAGGATGGCATTATGTTTAGCAAAAATATGCTCAGATGACCAGGTGGCTGCCCAGTAGATGTCTTTAAGGGCAACATTATGAAGAAATGCCATGGATGCCACAACGGCACGGGTGGAATGTGCTCTTGGAGACACTGGCAAAGTCTTATTCCATAAAGCGTAACATCGCACTAAACATGATGATATCCAGTTGGAGATGCATTGGATGGAGATGGGCACACCTTTTGAGCATTCTGCCATGGAAACAAATAGACGCTGAGACCTTCAGAAGGCTCACATTGTGTCTATGTAAAAGGCAAGAGCCCATCAGACATCCAGCATATATAGCGTGGCATCCTGACAAGATACATGTGGTTTTAGATAGAAAGCAAGTAAAACAATGGGTTTGTTGATATGGAATGAAGTGTCTCCATTTGTAGAAGTAGGTTGTGCAAGTGGAGAGCCTCCAGCTGTGGAGGAGAACTTCCTTCACCTGTTCAGAGCAGTGGGCTTCGGAATCATGGAATCAGACAAAAGCCAGGCATTTAGGTGAAGAGTGGTGAGGCTGGGGATGCAAAATGGTTTCACGTTCCTGAGGGAGTAGATCGTGATTGTCTGGGAGAGGAAGGTAGGAGAGCCATGCGGTGGCGGTATGGAAACCAAGTCTGCCTGGACCAAGAGGGTCTCGCACACTGTCCGAACAGATCTTGTGCAGAACCCTTGGGATAAGAGGAATTGGGGGGGAAAGCGTAGTGAAGTGGTGCATTCCATGTCACCAGGAAGGCATCCCCATGGATCTGTCACCCATTCCCCCCTCCTGGGAGCAGAACTGGGGGCACTTGGAGTTTAAATGTGATGCAAACAGATCTACCAATGGGAATCCCCATCGTTGTAAAATTGAAGTAAGGACCCGAGGATGCCATTCCCACTCGTGATCCATGGAGAAATTGCAACTGAGGGTATCCACCGTAGTATTGTTCACTCCAGTAGGTAGGATACCATGATGTGACTTGGTGATGAATGCACCAGTTCCACAAGAAAATTGCCTCTGCACACAGGGAGCAGGAGTGCACACCTCCCAGTCTGTTTATATAAAACATTGTGGTTGTGTTGTAGGGGATCACCCGTGTCCGTGTCCCCTATTTCCCAGTTAATGCACCCCTTAGACGTACTTGGGGTCTTCCGGTTTATTGAATTCTATAGCCTTACAAGATCCACAGCGCGATTGGTCGCCCTCCGCCCGCTGGGGAAGGGGGTCCGGGCCCGCCCTCGCTCCAAACCCTGACCCAAGGCCCTACGGCCAGGACGCTTGCCCTTACCTAGCGGAGGGGGTAGAGACCCCTAAACTCCCCCGCTCTCGGGGTCCACGCCCCTGCCCTGGGCCACTTCTTCCCCAGACGTGGGCTAACGCTAGCCCGGGGCCCCTGGGTTAAAACTCACCCAGGGTCTCCAGTATTCAGACCTGCCTGGTCCCCGCTGCGGTGCTCCCGTTCCCCGGGGATCCGTCCCTTCCTCCGGTCCGGAGCCCATTTTTAAAGTCCCCGCCGGACGCGGGGGGATGATGCTCCCCCCGGCATCATCATCCCATGACTCCCCCAGGCACCGCGCCGGTGACGTCACTGCGGATGCCATCCCGGCTGGCCCCCAGTCCCTGCGGGTGTTCCCCCGTGTCGCTGCCCATCCGGGGCGCCAGGGCTTTCCGCGGCTTCCCGCCCTGGCGCGGTGCTGGCCCTGCTTCCCCGCCTCCGGGGAGACGCAGGGATTTTAGGGAGGGGCGGGGCCGCCCCGCCACAGTTGTCCATGAGGATGCAAACTGTTTGGTTGCGGATAATAGGGACGAAATGGATACAGGTGTTCCTTGCAGTCCTGAACTTGAGAAGGTTGATGTGCAGTCTGACTTCTTGTGGTGAGCATCTGCCCTGAGCCAGTCGATGTTGTAGATGAGCACCCCATCTCAGTAGGGAATGCATGGTAAGGTTACTGTCTTGTGCATTGGGCAACAGGATGGGATATAACCCAAAGCAAGCCAATGTTCAAGGGAACAGAAATGTAGGCGAGCGTGTTGAACTACATTATGTAGTTGCAGCCATATGACCCGTAAGCTGGAGACAGGTAAGAACTGTAGTGGAGGGGATTGCAGATAGAATGCTGATCAAGTTCTGCAGAGCTGTGAAATGATGGTGAGATAGGTATGCTCAAGCTGATATTGAATCTAAGCAATCCCATATGAACTCATGGATTGAGTGGCAAGATCCTTACCACCGACCCCATCTTGTTTATAAAGTAATCTTGTTTATAAAGGATCTTGTTTATGAAGTAAACAAAATTAAATTAAAGCTTCTACAGCAACTAATTCCTATATATGAGATACATTTATAGTATTTTGTTGTATTTTACTGTATGGCTGCATCTAGACTGGCATGATTTAGCACAAATACTTTTAATGGAAAAGTTTTTCCGTTAAAAGTATTTGCTCAAAAGAGCATCTAGACTGGCACAGATGCGTTTGCACAAAAGATGTCTTTTGCACAAAAGCATCCGTGCCCAGTATAGACGCGCTTTTGCGCAAGAAAGCTCTGATGGCCATTTTAGCCATCAGGTTTTCTTGCACAACAAATTAAGGTGTCTGTCTACACTGGCCCTCTTGCGCAAGTATTCTTGTGCAAGAGGGCTTGTCTCTGAGCGGGAGCATCAAAGTATTTGCGCAAGAAGCACTGAATTCTTACATTAGGACGTCAGTGCTCTTCTGCAAATTTAAGCGGCCAGTGTAGACAGGCTGCAAGTTTTTTAGCAAAAGCAGTTGCTTTTGCACAAAATATTGCCTGTCTAGACGCAGCCTATATGTTTAATATAGATGTACAATATGACAGAGCTGCAGTTGGTGTGGAAGCCATAACTTTAAATTTCCTGATGTTTGTATGATTAAAATCTCAACCTTAATGATATATTAACATAGATTTTTGTATTTAATTTCCTTGTTTGGTTGCACATTTTTTGTTTTTGACAGCAGTGAAATATGCAATATCTACATCAATGCAATGTTATCAAAATACAATCAGCAACAGAAGGTTAAAATTGTGTTTCTCCTTCCACTCTACAGCTATTTATTGAGAAGGCAGAAGCAGAGGAAAAATGGTTCCAGAGGTTGATTGCTCTTCGTCAAGAAAGGCTGATGGGTAGTCCTGTGCCTTGAGTGATTTACAGTGGACATCATCCAGAATTTCTTCATGAATACTAGGAAAATTCTACTATAAAATTGTTTCATTTGACTGCTAACATCACTTTGAAAAGTAAATGTGAGTTGTAAGGAAAATACAAGTTTAATCTAAATGAAGATACATGCCTTAGTCTCTCTCATTGTTCCATTTTATTCAATGAGAGTTACCTGAGTAATTTCAGAGTTTCAGAGAGTTCAGAATAAGTTGTGTATAGGTAGTACTTTAGGGATGAATGAAGAAGGGAGAATGTCAGAGAAAGAGGAAAGGCCAAATTTATTAGTGCTATAGCACAACAATATAAATTACATCTCTTGGAGTCATCAAGGCCTCCTGCTTCCCAAGAGGGGTTCAGCTCAAAGAGGTAGTTCCTCTTCTGTCTTCCTGGGAAGAAGCAGTTTTTAATGCATTTCTGCATGAACTATTCCAGCGAAGACTGCTGAAGAGATATGCAGAACTGTATGTCCACATGCAGCCCTGCCTTACCGTCTTCCTCACTAGTACAACCCATATCTTGGGCAGACACACTAGAATGAAAATATAGGAGGCTGTATTTTGGAATAGTGGGTTTAATTCTACCTCTATATCTTCCCACTGCCATCATACTCCTAAAGATTCAGTAAGCACGAATGATAAACAGTACCGCTGTCCCTCTTAAAAGCAAACATGCAGATTTTTAGCAAGTTTAAAGAAATGCATTTCATAAACCATTTAAAAATGTTTAGCATTCTAGAGAGATCAGCTCTTTGTGTGGCCTATTTATAAGAACTGATTCATATATCATTGTGTGCATCTGTACAGAAATATATTGAACAAGGCCTATCAGTTCTCAAAACTAGATGGAGAGAGTGATTCAGAATATAAAGTTTCCCATTATCCAAGTAGCCCTTTAAAATATGTTGTCTGTGGAAAAGATTAGTCACATTGGGGTAGCATTCAATTTATGAATAAATTACTTCTAAAGTCATAATATTTTTGGTAGAATGAGAGAAAGCAGTACTAAAATGTTGGTATGATTTTTTTGTTCCCTCTAGTGAACACTGATCGGTATATTTCAAAACAAGATCTGAATTTCCATTGATTGTCCAACAACATACCAGTCACCTACATAATTAAATGCAGAAAAAAAAGGCTCTCCTAAGGTGCCTAGCACATCTGTAGTTAAAATACTTGTGTTAAAGAAAAAGAAATGTAAGCATAACTTCTATGGACAAATCACCTAGAAATATCCTGCATAATATAGACTTGTTCAAAAGGATGTAATAGAGATTTGTTTTAAATGATCATCTCTTCCCCATGGGTAGATTAATGAACACAGATACCTTTGTTTGGGGAGAAGAGAGTATTAAAATATGTTGGGATGGATTTTCATTTTTAACAGTAGTGAAAGTCTCACTAGGATATGTTGAAAATAATAGTTTATTTTAAATGTATCAAGTCTCTTGCAACTAAATGAAGAGAAGCTTAATTAATTGTCAGAGAAGAGGTGGCCAAAATTAGTATTTTCAAACTTTCTCTATTTGGCATTGTCCTCTAATTTACTTGTATAGTTTTATAAAAAATAATGTTCAGTTTCCAAGCCATGTTCACCTTAAAATTCCTGCATTGTCCACAGCTGTATGATGATATTTTGATTTTGAAATAGATTTATTTGTTTTATAATTGTGTTTTACAACCTCAGAATATTTTGAATAGTCACAAAACCATTCATTAATGGGGGAAAAATGGGATGTAACTGTATAGGCAGGGTTCATTTGCTACTGATGATCAACCAGTAGTGAAATATCACCAGCAAAAGTCCATTTTGAAGCATAATAGTGAGTAGGGTCTGGCAATTGGATAGAAAAGCCATCGCTAACCCTGCAATAGAAGGAAAAGAAGTTATTTAAAACCTTGGGCTGAAGTTCCCCAGATAACATATGGGATAGTGAGCACATTCTACAGTCAGATTTTTATAGCACAATTTGCAGATTACTGATACAGACTAACAACAAAATAATTCTACCAGATTCTGTAGTTTTGAATGTACCCTGATGAATAATGAGATGAAGAGGGCTTTAAATTAATTTAAATGGCATCTTCTTCTCCTTTAAGTCCTATGATGTAGTTAAAGTGTTAACAATGTGCTAGGCATCTTGCTGTGCCTGACTACTGGAAACATTCAAAATATCAAGCATTTTAAAGTGAATGGAATTATAAGAGCCATTGACAATACAGTAAAACACCCAAGTCCTGTTTACACTACAGTTTCCACCATTTCTACCATCAGTAATAAATTGCCAAGTTTGCTAATAAGGTCTGTCTTGGAAGATAGTGGACTCACTTTGCATGCTGAGTCTGCTTCTGCATAGGCAAACAAAGTTTGCTTAAGACCAGAGTCTGAATCCATGGGGGTCTTAATAGTTGAATATTGTAGATATAACTTAAGACTAGACTGCGTGATTGAGGTTGTGTAAACTCCCCATATCCTATTTGTCTTGCATTTACTGAATAATGTTCTATGAATGATTAAATAAATTATTCATTTTCCTGTCAATGTAAGGCAGATACTTCAGCCAGCAGAAATAATACATCAGGGAAGACAATAACATTAGAAAAAAACACTGTTCTGTTACTAACCATGAAAGGGGAAGACCTTTGAAAGTCTTACAAACTAAAACCATTTTATAAGACTGGCCCCAATAAAATATACCCAAAATATAACTTTACTCAACAACGTTTTGATTTGTGAGCCATTGTCAACTGAGAGAGAAACTAAACAGATTTCCCAAAATCAGACAGACTAGCTAAGAATTCAGATGCACCATGCACTATGTGGGCATGAAAATCAAATCAATGAAGATCTCTTAATAGACCAAAGTTCTTTGCTAACTAGTTCTCCCCATGTGCTCTCCTCTCCCACCCACCCCGCCGCCACGGCCACCAGTCAAGCATCAGGTCATACCTGTGCTGCTCCCATGGCCTCGCTTCCTTGAAATCCTGAAAGGTACCTGTCATACTGAACCTTGTAAATGACCATTAAGCGTTTAGTTTCCTTTGTTGGCCTGCTTCCATCTTTGTTTTAGTTCCTTAATGCTGTATGTGTGGGTGGGAATGGGTTCTGAACTGAGAGAGGAAAAAGATAATTGTTTTTAAAATAATCCTAACTAATTGAACCATAAGAATGATTGGTGGATTGTAATGTCTCTTGAATCCCATCTTATATGCACTTCTGATCATTTGTTATCATCCATGATTTGTGACAGTAGTTCATGTATGCTGGTCTGTACTTATTTTTTTTCTCTTGTTCTGTCTTTTGGCTACAATAAACAATGTGATGTGATTACATACATATAGTTCAGTGTTTCACCTATTTTAGAGAATGCACTGACATAAACAGTGAATTTAGAATTTGTGAAAGAGTGAAGGACCTGGATACAAAAGTCTGATATTTACTTATGAAGTGGTTATATTATGTTGGGCAACAGTTCAACATTGTTCACGTTGTCCTACACCAGTGTTCCTTAAATTTCTCCTTACCTGGAAAAACTGTGTATAGGAGGAGAGGATAGTTCATTAACTTCATCCGTTCAGTCTCTGAGCTCTTTTCTGAGACTGCCAATAAAGTTATGATGCAGACAGTTATCCCTAGGAACTACATTAACTAATTCATTTCACTTAAGCTATTGAACCGCCATCATAAAATAGATTATTTCCATTATAATCCAGTAAGACTGAATTTAATTAGATAATTTTTAGGTACCGGTAGGATATTCACTATCTCATTCTTAATTTCCTGACTCATCTGGTGCCTCTATAATTGACTTTAGAATAGGTAAATTACATTAAAATTAATAACTATTGTATTAGTCTCACATAGAATTGTTAATAGAACAATTTTATTTTAGGAGGATTTATGGTGATTTAATATTGACATCTTTAAAACTACTGTCAATAGGAAGCAGTTCAGATTCAGTGGCTCTGAATGGCCTAGGACTAGGCTATTTTGAAGTCAGTTTCCCCATCAGGAACTCCCCTCCAGAACTATAATCACAGAGTCAGATGAAAATGTAAAGTTCCAGTAGGCAAAGCGAATTCAATGAGTGGTCCTAACATTTGAAAATTGTCACAATAGAGCAGACTGAGCTTAAGCCTTACTATATTCAGAACACAAGTTAAGCACCACCTCTTCAAGGTGTAGCCATAAAATTAATATCATTTAATTGTTTATATTATTGCAGGCCCCAAATTTAATAAAAGGTATAGAGCAGACTTCTACTTGGTCAAGTATCAGCAGTCCTTACATGCCTACATACAAAGATCAATTGTGCACGTTATAAATACATAGCTAGATATAGACACTTAACTTCAGAAGAGCTTGCAATGTTTTGTTACTGGAATAGTAACTTTTATGTCATTAGTTAAATCTATCTAAGCAATGATGATTTAGAAGTCTATATCTATCTTATCAATTGTCAATAGTATGTTCAAAAAGAAGTTACTCACCTTGGGGCAGTAACAGTTGTTCTTCGAAATGTGTCCCTGTGGGTGCTCCACTCGTGGTGTCAGGCTGGTCCCAGCGCTGCGGATCTGGAGCCTTGCATAGCCGTGCTCCGCCGAACCGCGCATGCGCGAGCAGCGGCTCCCACCATTCACACCTTTGATCTGCTGTGCGCGGTGCAGCCCCCACTCCGTTCCTCCAGCTGCCCGAGTCTCTGAAACAATACAAGTCAATTCTGAAGCGGGGAGGAGGACGGGTTGTGGAGCACCCCACGGGGACACATCTCAAAGAACAGTCATTACTGCACAAAGGTGAGTAACTTCTTCTTCGAGTAGTCCCCGTGGGTGCTCCACTCGTGGTGACTTCAGAGCAGTACCCAAGCAAGAAACATGATTCAGAATTACGGTTTATTAACAAGGGGAAGTACTGCTTTTGCCACCGAGGAGTCTGAAGCCCAATGATGCAGTATTGCATAATGTCTCATGAAAGTTTAATTGGAGGACCATGTTGCTGCTCAGAAAATGTCCTGAAACAGTACGCCTCTTGAAAAAGCTGTAGATATGGCCACTGCTCATGTGGAATGGGCTTTTGGTTGTACTAAGAGTGGTTTATTACGTGTAGAATAGCATGTGGTAATGCATGTCACTATTAAATTAGCAATGCGTTGCGAGGACAGTGGTTGCCCCTTGAAACAGGCCGCCAATGAAACAATAAGACAGTCCGTTCTGCGGAAATCCCGTGTTCTGTCCATATAGAAAGCTAGTGCTCTGCGTACATCCAGGGTATGTAGAGCTGCCTCACGTGATGAGGTATGCAGTTTGGGGCAGAAGCAGGGAAGCACAATGGGCTCGTTAATGTGAAAGTCCAAGCATACTTTAGGAAGAAATGCTGAGTGAGACCTTAATGTGACCGAATCTTTTGTAAATATAGTATAAGGCGGTGATGACATGAGAGCTGCTAGCTCGCTCACTCTGCATGCCAAATAATAAGTCAAAGCTAGTAAAAAGAGAGATTTAATGGTAAGTAAGCAGGTACAAAGAAGTTGTAGCCAGTGGTTCAAATGGAGGGCATGTCAATGTATCTAGCACCAAACTGAGATCCCACAAAGGTGGTGGAGTTCTTTGTAGTGGGTTAAGATTCATAAGCCCCTTCAGGAATCGTCATGTCATGGGGTGCGAAAACAAGGAAAAAATGTCTATTATGTGACGAAAAGTGGTAATCACTGCTAAATGTACTTATAAGGAGGCTATTGATAGATCGCTTTGTTGTAGATGTAGCATATATTTGAGTATTTTATGCACTGGTGAAATACGGGGGTCGATATCATTTTCGAAACACCATGCCTCAAATCTAATCCACTTCAGTGAATATGTGGCCCATGTAGAGCTCTTTCTGCTGGACATTAGTACATGCTTGACTGGATCGGAGCAGAGGTTCTCAGATGTCATGAAACACTTAGCATCCAAGCTGTCAAATGTAGGATTTCAGGTGTTGGATGCCGTAGGGCAGTGGTCCCCAAACTTTTTGTGGCCAACAGCACATTCATGTTTTCAAAAGAGAGTGGCGGGTGCCAACAATTTTTCAAGGCTTATTTTGTACCCAAATAATTTTTTTAAAATGTACTCTTTCATCCCCATTAGTCACACCTCTGACCCCTGTTAACCACGTCCCTGACATAAGAACGGCCATACTGGGTCAGACCAAAGGTCCATCTAGCCCAGTAGCCTGTCTGCCGACAGTGGCCAGCACCAGGTGCCCCAGAGAAGGTGGACCGAAGACAATGATTAAGCAATTTGTCTCCTGCCATCCCTCTCCAGCCTGTGACAAACAGAGGCCAGGGACACCATTTCTATCCCCTGGCTAATAGCCTTTTATGGACCTAACCTC